GGGCATGTAGGAGGCAGCTGATGATCAATGATTCTCTCTCATCATTGATGTTTCTATCTCTTTCTTCCTCTCCCGTCCTCTCTGAAATCAATAAAAACATTAAAAAAAAAAAAAGAAATTGGTCATATGCATTAGAGCAGCAATTTTCAGCCTTTTAAATCTCATGGCACATATAAAGTAATTACTAAAATTCTGTAGTGCACCAAAAAAATTCTATTTTTTGCCAATCTGACAAAAAAAAAAAAGGTACACTTCTGATTCATTTATACCGGACAGCTATTGTTGTGTTATTGTTGTTGTTGTTATTATTATTTATATTTTTATTGATTTCAGAGAGGAAGGGAGAGGGAGAAAGAGATAGAAACATCAATGATGAGAGAGTTACCTCCTGCAAGCCCCCTACTGGGGATCAAGTCCCCAACCCAGGCATGTGTCCTGACTGGGAATCAAACTGTGACCTCTTGGGTCATGGGTCGATGCTGGGTCACTGAGCCACACCGGCCGGGCCTTTAGCTCTAACTTTTTTCTGATTTAGGTTGGAACTTGATACATCTCTATTACTTACACCCATCAAAATCCCCCCAAAGTTCTCTTCCTTTTTGAATTCCTTCACATCTAACAACCTGAAGAAATGCTCATGTGGAGTTAGCAGACTTACATGTTACTATTTGAATCTATTTTGCCAATGGTTTGAATTGTGGTGGTCTTAAGTAAATAGCTATTTTAAACTCTTAGATGTACAGGAGAATTAAGCCCGATTCCTACCCTCAAATAACTTTAATAAGCCAAGGCAAAAATACAAGGTGGGCAAAAGTAGTTTTATAGTCATGAGTACATGAAACACAGAATTTATTCTTATATTACTATTTATTAATTATTGTATTATTTTTCATAGAGTCACTGTAAACCTACTTTTGCCTCATCCTGTATCTATGCTAGTAAGTGCCCTATATGTACATTTTGAATGAAGGAAGGGAGAAATGTTTTGGGCTGTGAACTGAAGAATGGGTAGCATTTGTTAAAAAGGCTTGGACAAGGCATTTCAGATTCATTCAGTAAATATTAATTGCCAGCTACGGACCAAGCTTTGTACTAGCAACTGGAATCCAATTATCAACAAAAGGAAAGGATTTCTTATGGAACTGTTGGGAGCCCGGGGACAGGCACCATGTGTGAGATGGTGGGTCAGACTGGACCTGGGTTCAGCAACCTTGGTACTTGAGTTCAGGCTAGGAAAGAATTCAGAGCCAAGACTCAAACTATAAGAGAACATTTATTTAGAAAATTACAGAGGTAGAAGTAATTCATAGAAGAAATGGGCTGAAGAAACAAGTTATAGAGGCAAAGGAAGGGCCCTTGGAGCTTGGGAGTGAGGAAGTTAAAGATGATACGAGTTGGGAGAGGGAGGGAAAGGGCCTGGGCATGCTCCCGGTAGAAGAGCGAGCTGGCTTCTCTGTCTTAAGGGTGTTAAGGATGGAGATTTTAGGGGAAGATCTCAGTAGAATATTCAGCAGCTCTCCAGGTGTGTTCTTTCAGGGTCAGGTTCTCCACTGATTGTCTGGTCAGCGCCAGGGCAGGGGGTCATTATCCAATGCAGCCGTCCTTGAGGTCAGCCTTGGTGTAGCTTGTCTGGTTTTGCTGTCTTTCTGGGCCGGGAGCTGAAATACAACTGAGGCCTAGATGTTATCTGTAGGGACAAAAGGTCGGGGGTCCAAATCTCATGACCAGCGATAGGCTAGGGAGGAAAGGTCATCCTGGGATGATGTCCCACCTGCAATTGTCCTTTTTGCACCCAGGGCTTTCCGCCCTGGTGACCTTTTGTACCTGGCCCATCGTCCTTGCTCTGCTCATGTTTGTCTGTCTATGACAGAACTAGGTTGGTGAATAAGACAGATATTAAGCAGGACAATACAGAAGGACGTAATTAACAAGGGGTAGGGCAGTCAGTGTAGAGAATGTTCCAGGCAAAGATCCTGATGATAACCGGAACGGTGAGCGATTTAAGCAAAAGTGTGGAAAATGTGTTACAAGCAGATTCCGACTCCCCTCACGGGGAAGGGGGTCCCCAATAATGGGCTGCCCCCCTTGTAGTCCTGGGGTATATATTTGCTACAAGCCTGCTTCTATATCTATCCGCGTCGTCACCTGATTGATTCCCTCAGTTGTTCTTGCCCAGCAATGGACCTGAACTTTCCCTGTTTCTATGTGTTCTTTCTCTGTCCCTACGCTGAACTTTCCCTGTTTCTATGTGTTCTTTCTCTGTCCCTGTGCTGAACTTTCCCTGTTTCTATTCATCAGTTCACCTTATTGTTGCAGGCCCTCCCTTATTTTCCCATGCCTCCCGCTTTGAGTCTAGAAACATTTTATAATTTCTGCATGGTCGGTTCCTGTGGTGAGGCTGGCTCACACTGCCGTGTCTGCCCTGCCTATGTTCCACCTGCCTTTGTTTTCCACTGGACCCCTGTCCTATCTGTCTGTGTTTCAAATGAACCCTTTCACTGAGATGAAAATAGGGTGTGGTACTTCTGGTGTAAAGAAAGCTGGTGTGGCTAGAGCATGGAGAGCATAGAAAAGAGATAGAAAGGAAGCCAGAGAGAGAAAGACAGGGGCCAGAACAAGCAGCCAGCTGAGACCATCGGGTAAAGCTCATGATTAGGCTTATTTGTAGTTTACTTGAGCAAACTGATTTTTTTGTTTTGTTTTGAAATTAGTTGTTTGACTCTAAAATAAGACTTTATTACAGGGCTGCCCTCTCATCCTCAGCATGAGTTGGCAAAGCGTCAGTGCACAGGTTGCCCGGGGATGATCACCTTTTATATTAAGGGCGCTCTTCAGCACGCTGAGGCTTTCCTCAAGAGCCTGAAGGTAAGCTTTCAAAACAGGTTATTAAATTCTAGAGGTAAGACCTTCTTACGGCAGTTTATTATCTCTCACTTCCATCCAACTCAGATGCATGTTTGTGTACCTGCAGATCACACCTACAAACCTCTTTATCATGAAATGCATTGGGTTAGACAATGGCTTTGGTGTGGTAGCAGATATCTGAATATGTGTATTTATTTTGCTCTCCACAGACTGTCATCCATTTGAGAGAGACAGGATGTTCTAGCGCATAGGTTTTCAAATTTATTTAAAAGTAAACCCCTTTCCCAAATGAAATATTATGTGAGGCCTCAAAGTAAGGTGCTGTTAGTGCAATGCCCGAGGCTATGCTGGAACCCAGCCCAAGAATGGCTTTCCAAACCCTGTGGCCTCCCAGGATGCATCTGCCTGGAGTGAGGGAAGGGAAGGCCTTTGTCTAATTCCACAGTGGCAGGAAGTTCTCAGGGGCCCAGGGAGAGGCCTACATAACCACACACGAAGCTTTCATTGGTCAACCTCATGCAGTAGACTGAGCTTTAAATCGGTATAAAGAATAGGGTGCTACCAGATTTGTCAAAGCCCTCCTGGTCCATCTCTGAAATCAGAAAAATAGCAGTGTGTATTTAATTTAATATGGCTGTGAGAGTAATTTTTTAAATATTTATAAAATTCTTTGCTACTATAACACTAAATACCAAAACTGAGTTATTTTTTTCTTCTATTCCAGGGGGCAGTTTAATGGATATATTAATTTAATAAGTGATACATACTAACAAATAAGTGCTTAAACATTTAGATATTTTTCTTTAAAGGGTAACTATAACTGGACAATCAATGGGTCCACACTGCCTGTCACTACTTGAGCCAATTAAGCAGAGAAGGGGTTGAATCATCCACAAAAATCTGCTCTGCAGCCCCCTATAAACCAGCTGTTTATATAGGGTAGGACAAGGATTACATGGGGAAGTAGGGATTACAGGAATGGGAAAGTAGGCAATGCGGGATGGGACTCCATTGTTTGGGCAACAAGGTTGTTAATCCTTCCATGATAATAGGCAGGTCTTGAATAAGAATGGACTGCATTCCAAGGTTAACTCCCAGGTCCCAGGGGTTTACAGCTCCCAGCCAGAGTAGACTGTCCTTTCCTTAACCAGAACAAGGCAATCATGGTTAACAGAGCATGATTAATATTTCCCATAGCCATAACTAGTCCCCAATATTCTTAGTGCCCCTAACCACAGAGCTAGGTCTCAGATGTAGTAATTCTGAGGTTTTAGAGCTCAGGTTAAGTATTATTCATGTATAGGGCCAATTAGGAAGGTATAGGAGATTCACCTTTATCAACTTTTAGTGTTGTGAAAGTTTATACATAGTATGTTTAATTAATGAAATCATTGTTATGGATTCTATTCTCATTTTTTTCTCTGACTTTCTTGCCCAATTATTGTTTATTCATAATCGCTATTTCCCATCCTCTGTCCCACGGCCATTTTATTAAAAACATTTACTTTTAGATATTTTTATTTTTATTTTGGTAGAAGTTCTAAATTAATATTTTCTTTGCTATAGTTATTTACTTTGGCTGAGAGCTTGGGAGGATATGAGAGTCTTGCTGAGCTTCCGTAAGTATGTTTTTCTCTTTCATGGTATTTTAACTTTGATGTCAGCTTTAATGATCCTTTGATAAAGGAATATGATAAAACCAGAAATAATTCAAGATATTTAATGATCAGAAGAGCATGGTACTATTTAATCAGAATGGATTCTGACTCAATAGAATGGAGACTGATGAAATCTCATGGAGGCTCTTATCAGTGTTCTCCAGAATTTACTTCCACGCCTGTTCTGTCTGAAGGACATTCCAGCAGAAGTTGTATGTCAGGCTTTCCGCCTTTGGCCCAGGACTACTTGTTCTATCCCACTCCGCCCTGGAAGGGAGATGAAGACTTTGTCCTGGAAGGGCTGATTTCAAGGCTCCCTGGGAAATGGGGAATGTGTCTCTGATGAAACACCTCCACGCCTTGATTGTCAGAAGAGGGCCCAACTAGCTACCATCAAATATCTAAGAAAAGATTTCAATCAAGGACATTGTAGAAAAGCAGGCAAGAATTTATTGACTGCAGCAAAAACACGCAGGACAGTGACACAAGGAAGGGCACAGGAGAAGCATCAGGAGAGCCTGGGCTGGGCTGCTTTGGCTCACTGGGAAGTCAGAGAAACGGGGCCCTGGGGACAGGGTCAGGGGGTGAGCCTGGGGCGAGCTGCTACTGCCCATTGCTCTCCTGGTTACAAGTCTCTTGGGGCCCCTTGGAGTTTAGGAGATAGGTGCCTGTGGGGGGAGGGGGAGGGAGTGCAGCACCTTATTTTACAGACAAGGAACAAAGATTCCAAAAGTTTTGCTGATCCCTCAAATGTCACATGGGAATATGTTAGCAACTTAACCCTTGAGGCTTTGCAACGAGGGGAGGTAAAAGCAGCCTGGATCTGGAGTTGATGCCTATTCTACCAGTTACTTAACCTTTAAGCTTCAATTTTTTTATCCATAAAATGGACTTAATATTTGAAGTAATGATTATCATTTCTTGATTACCCATCCCACCAAGCATTCCTGAATTATATCCTGACTTCATTGTATGTTACTATGACCATATGTTGTAATTATTGCAGGGGTCCATCAACAACATTACCTAATAATTTTCAACTGCTTGTGTGTTTTAATTTCCATACACATTTCTGGAATAACTATGTTCTGGAAGCATTGTACTGAGGGGTATTAGAAATGACCAAAATCTGGGCACATTTTCTGCTCTCTCATCGTAGTTTACAGTTTCTGAGTAGAGTTAGGCAATTTCATAAAGTTAAAAAGAAGAAATGATGCCTCCCCCCCCCTCCCCCAAATGATTCAAATAATTAAGATAACACTTAGAGGTTTTGTTCATCTTTCAAGGAAATGCCTGTTAAGTCTGGATGCACAAGAGGGCACACTCAGCATATGAAATTGGGTTATTTTTCATAGTAATGAAGTGTGTATTACTTTAAGGCGAGTCTTAAACCTCTCCTGGTTTGTTAGGGATTTGGTTTAAAGTTGCTTGGCCCTCAGACGCTCCTGCTAGGCCATAACCCTGCTGCCTGTAGAGGAGTGAATTTAGGTCAGAGCTTGCTGTTCTATCACCCTCCTTCTGTGTCTCCCAACTTGGCTGCAACTAGTGCAGCATTGCAATCAGAGAGGGAGGAAGCCAAGCCAGTGTGCACTGGGTTGGTCTCCCAGCCTGAAAACATGTATTAATTTCGTGACCTTAGAAAAATTGTTTATCCTCTCTCAACCGCAGTTTTCTCCATTGTAAAATGTGGATAATACTGTGCCCAGCTCTTAGGGTTGTTGTGAGAACATGGGAGAAAATAATGCCTCAGCTAATGCTTTGGTTCATATTAAGTGCTCAGTAAATGTTAACTACTCTTATAGATTATTTTTTATCAGGCATTTACTACTTTACTATATTGCAAATACATTCCAGGTACATGTAAGTGCTTTTTATAAGTTCCTTCCATTAAGGACTGTGACACACTTTTGAGATAGATGTTATATCCAGTTTTTATCCATTAAAATTAAATTAATGCACATAAATGACCTAGAGTACCTGTTTCATGAGCAGCATACAATAAGTGATAGCTACTATTATTTCAGATAAGGAAATGCACTCTGAGGAGAGGTAGGTTTTACAAGCCCACACAGCCAGTATGTGGAGGGGCTGAGATTCATACCCACGTCTATTGGTCTCAGAGGCCTAAGTTCTTATTTCTACCTGTGCATGCTCTGTTAGGGAATTAAGAGCCTGAAAAGGCAGAACATTTTAAGGAGGCTGTTTACATGTAAAACTTAGAGTAGTGAAAGAAGATACCCATTTCCTTTGACAATGCCTGAGATTTTCTTTCCATGGGCCTGACGTGAGGTAGGAGAAAGCAGCTTAGGCATTGATTTTACTGGCAGTGTGCAGGGAGAGGTTGAGTGTTGGTGGCAATGTGAGTATTAGAGTTCAGAAAGACTATAAGCCCCTCTGTGATGCCTCAGCCCACAGAGATCTACCCCGCTGAACTCTGGCAGTCCTAGTGTTCATACGGGTTTGTGTTGACTCTTCTGTTTTGTGAATCGTCTTAGTCTTTAGCTCCTGCTTTGTTATCTAGGGTAAAGAAAATATCTCATAATACCTCATTTTTATTCGTTTTCTAACTCTCACTATAATGCCTGACCCATAGTAGGTGCTTTGCCTTTACACCTGGGTTATGTGCCAGAATTCCAGTTGCACACTGGCGGCTACTAGTGATCCTGGTTGCCTTTTCCAGATCTGCCTCAGAAGGTCCAGTTCTGGATTGATTCATTGATCCAGAAGAAATTAATTCTGACTGGCTCTTGGTCTCAGAGGCCTCTTGTAAGTTCAGCTGGTTGGTCATGGGGTATGATTTCTGGCCAAGGTCTCATTCAGGCAAGGGATTAAGATCCACACACGGGAGGCCCTGTCTTTCCCTCCCTCATAGGGGTGCTTGACTGGCACCTTCAGTGTCTGGATTGAGTATTCCTTACTGATGCTATAAATTAATAAAAGAGTTTGGATTTCACTTAAATGACTAGAAAAGATAATATTAACAATTCCTTTTTTTTGCCTATGAAAAATTATAAGCGTATGAAGAATTTGATATTTAGAGTAGAAGAAATTGGAAGATGATTGCAATTTATGATTCAGAATATGCCTCCATTGATATAATATAGTGACAAAAAATTTGCTCACTCTGGGCCCAGCCGGTGTGGCTTAGTGGGTGAGCATTGACCTATGAACCAGGGGGGTCATGGTTCAAGTCCCAGTCCAGGCACATGCCTGGGTTGCAGGCTCGATCCCCAGTGGGGGGCTGGAAGTTGCAGGAGGCAGCCGATCAATGTTCCTCTCTCATTGATGTTTCTATCTCTTTCTCCCTTCCTCTCTGAAATCAATAAAAATATACATTTTTTAAAAATTTGCTCATTCTTCCTTCCAGGGCAATTATGACCCATGCATCAGTGCCTGAGAACCACAGAGAGGCCCTTGGAATTAGTGACACACTGATTCGACTCTCTGTGGGCTTAGAGGATAAAGAAGACCTACTGGAAGATTTAGATCAAGCTTTGAAGAAAGCAGTAAGTTTTATTACTTTAGTGTTTTGGGGTGTGTGTGCATGAAAATGGTGCTTAATCTTGGGGCTGGGGCTCATATTTATAAAGAGAGGCCTCGCTATGAATGCTTAAAGGTTTTTCTCTTCTCTTCCTACAATTAACAGGGTGTATAAATGTGCATAGAACTTAGTCGAAGTGCAGATTTAAAAGATGGTAGTATTCAGAAAAGAGTCCTTAGGGGAGGTGAAGTCATTGCCAGCATGTTTAATAACCTGTTTTTCTTGTGCACTGTTTTTACAGCACCGTCCAAATGCATATTGAACTTAGCATGCCAGAACTGCTATTAGAAGTTGCTTCCTGAGAGATCAAATATTCTGAATAATCGAATGGACCATTAATGAACTTTTATAGATTTTCAAGTGAAAATTTTAAGGCACCTCATTACCTTTCACACAACTGTAATCTTCCAGGGATCACCCCTGTTTTCCACAGTTTCCTCTTTCCCTGATTGTCATTGACAGGTCAATGCTGTTAATATCTTTTTGTTAATTTTGGCATACATTTGCCTTTGAAGGAGGTGAAATTTGTGTTGCTTTTTGGATTATTCTCTTTTTTTCATAGCTTAAGAATTATATTGATCATGTTTACAATATAGTGATAATTCACTTTTGATGTTTTCTGAAGAACTTAAATTATTAAATGAATGTTTTTAAATCAAGTGTGATTTTTCATATCATTGAAAACAGCACTAAAGCAATGGTTTACACTTAATTACCATAAGCCAAATATCACATGCCTGTAAAGTTTACTGTGAAATTCTAGTGATTTAAGATGGTGTTTACTATTTAAAAAAAAATAAATCTAATTATCAAATCCATTCCATTGTGATGTTTCTATATTATGTGTAATTAACTTGGATTCCTGGGCCCTATGAGTGCTTAGCTCTTATGTTAATTTTATCAATTCAATTGTAGAACTATGATACCCAAATCTTAGTGTTTGCAGATTAGTTACAAATTCTATACATAGAAGGTCAAAAGCCACTTTTATAGACAGAAATAATACTTTTTTAGATTTTATCTGAAACAGTAGGTTTGTGAGGCTAAAGAAAGAAATGTGTAAAACAGAATCTTTTATAATTGAAATGTATAACAAGTTATTGTCGCCCTAACCAGTTTCGCTCAGTGGATAGAGCGTCGGCCTGCGGACTGAAGGGTCCCAGGTTCGATTCCGGTCAAGGGCATGTACCTTGGTTGTGGGCACATCCCCAGTAGGGAGTGTGCAGGAGGCAGCTGATTGATGTTTCTCTCTCATTGATGTTTCTAATTCTCTATCCCTCTCCCTTCCTCTCTGTAAAAAATCAATAAAATATATTTTAAAAAAAAGCAAAACAAGTTATTGTCAATAAGTCATAAGTCAAATAATTAGATTTTTAAAATTGTTTTTATGCTAAAAGCTTTCAGTCATTTGTTTGCTACCGCCATTTGTTTCAGTGTTAAAAAAAAGTGTATTGAACTTGATTAATAATAGTGCTGTGTAGGAGGGGAATTCATACTAACACACATTCTTATGTATTACCCACATTCTGTATAGTCTGGAAATTCTGTCTATAGGCAGTAGCATTCGAGGCAGGTCATATCTCACTATGGTTTCTGGCAGGCCTGATTTCTTGCCTTCTCAGGACCTGAGGGCTGCAGAAATAAACAGACTCAGCCAAATAAGAAAAGCAAAGACTATTTATTCTGAGTTTGCAAGGGAGTCAGCTACTGTTACTTGTGTTTTGTCAGAGACTCAAAGGCAAGCCAGAACATAAGGAATTGCAGAAATTTTTAGTATTTGTTGATACAGATGGATGAGAAACTAAAACTTCCATATTTAAAATTGTCAGATGACTCAATTGGATAACAGTAACTCACTGTTAGAAATATTAAAAAGAAAAAAAAAAAGACTAAAAACACCAAAGGCAGACAGGAGTGGAAAAGCTTTAGAGTGTACAAAAGGGAAGGCTTCAGATATGCCCTGATCCAGAGTTCTGCTGGCGTTTGGGAAGCTGTTGGTAAGCTAATTGGAAGTGGAACATCCTATGTGATTAGTACACATTTGGTTTTCTAGAGTTTATCCTTATTCAAAAGCAGGGACAAAAATTAGGGAAGCTGTCAATTATTAATCAAGTCCTGGCCATTTGGGGCTGATTGTTATAGAAGTGATTGTTTAGCTTCCCAGATTGTCACTAGAAATAGAAGTAGATTTTCAGCAAGGCCAGCTTCCTGGGTTGTTTGTAGATGTGTTTCCAGGAAACCCCTGGCTGGGCTCGGGCTGCCTGTCACTCTGTCCAATAATGAAGGCAGGGTTGAATCATATAAGGCAGCGGTTCTCAACCAGTGGGTCTCGACTCCTTTGGGGGTCGAACGACCCTTTCACAGGGGTCACCTAAGACCATCAGAAAACACATATATAATTACATATTGTTTTTGTGATTAATCACTAGGCTTTAATTATGTTCAATTTGTAACAATGAAATTGGGGGTCACCACAACATGAGGAACTGTATTAATGGGTTGAGGCATTAGGAAGGTTGAGAACCACTGATATAAGGCATTTATTTAGAAGGCCAGCCAACTAAGAAGACAGGGCGCTTATATACATTCAAATCCTGTCTTACAGCAAGGTGCAGGGGACAGGATTATAAAGGGAAGGGCCTAGGGCAGTGATGGTGAACCTATGACACACGTGTCAGAGGTGACATGCAAACTCATTTTTTTGGTTGATTTTTCTTTGTTATATGGCATTTAAATATATAAAATAAATATCAAAAATATAAGTCTTTGTTTTACTATGGTTGCAAATATCACAAAATTTCTATATGTGACACGGCACCAGAGTTAAGTTAGGGTTTTTCAAAATGCTGACACGCTGAGCTCAAAAGGTTCACCATCACTGGGCTAGGGTGATGCTGGTAACGGAATGCAGCTACATGCAGTCCTGGAGGTCCCCAGATGTCAGCTATTGTCCTTAATCATCAGGCAATGAGATGATGAGATGATATTTTGACTCCTGGTGGGTCGGTCTAACCATGCTTATCAGTTCTGCTTGCTGGATTCACAGCTGAGTCACCTCCCTAATTTCTTCGCACAGGCCTTGTGAAAGAAACTTAAAAACTTAACCTCCTATTCACATACTTTTATGTGTTCTAAGATTTAAAATAATATGATTATTTTTCAGATTAATTCAGGTGCTCTATCTTATCAGATTATAGATCCCCTATCAGATGTGGGAGTTGGTTTTCTGGGGAGGTTGCTGTGGGTCAAAGTTCTATATAAATGGTCTATCCATTGTCTATTTGTATATTCAGTCTCATAAGTAAGTAGCTACCATTCTGTTAGGGTTCTCCAGAGAAACAAAACCAAAGGATATGTGTTTGTGTGTGTGTGTGTACATATACATATATGTGCATGTATATATGGAGAGAGATTGATTTTAAGAAATTGGCTCATGACTGTAGGGGTTTGTAAGTCTGAAATTTATTGGGGGGGGCGGGCCGAGGCTGAAAATTCACATAGGGGTTTTGCAATCTGAAGGCAGAGTTGTTTTTCCTTTGGGAAACCCGTAGGCTTTGTCCTTAAAGCCTTCATTTGATTAGATGAGGCCAACCCACAATCTAGAGATTAATCTCCTTTACTCAAAGTTTACTGATTTAAATGTTAATCACGTCTAAAAAATGCCTTCACAGCAACATCTAGACTGGCATTTGACCAAATAGCTAGGGTACCATAACCTAGCCAAGCTGACACATAAAATTAACCATCCCATCCATGTTATAGGCACTGTTCCTTACTGCCTGAGAAGGCACCATTATGTTTATTAGGATTTATGAAGTTTATCTGTAGCTTTTGGTTATGTTCAGGCAATGTCTCTCTCCATTAGCATAGTTTACACCAGGATGATGATTCAGTGTTTAAACACTGTACCACCCTCCCCTGCCCCATTTATAGAACATCTGCCTTTGTAGAGGGGAATATAACTGGACAGCAATACTCTGGTCATGTTAAATGAGGTCAGGCTTCCAGGATACTACTTTTACTGAGTTGCTTTATATAACACACTAGTGGCCTGATGCACAGATTTGTGCACATTGAAAGGAAATTAATTAGAAGTAAGATTTGTGTGGTAATTATGTTACTGCAAAAAATTACATGTCAAGCCCTTACCGGTTTGGCTCAGTGGATAGAGCGTCGGCCTGTGGACTGAAAGGTCCTAGGTTCAATTCCAGTCAAGGGCATGTACCTTGGTTGCAGGCACATCCCCAGTAGGCGGTGTGCAGGAGGCAGCTGATCGATGTTTCTCTCATTGATGTTTCTAACTATCCTTCTCCCTTCCTCTCTGTAAAAAAATCAATAAAATATATTTTTTAAAAAATTACATGTCAAAATAGTATATATAATACCAGTGGCCTGGTGCACGAAATTCATGCACATTAAAAGGGGATTAATTAGAGGAAATATTTTAATATTGCTATTTGACACCCTTGCTGCTTGACACAGTCGCTGCAGGGAAGAAACATCTGCACTTTCTATATAATAGAAGTGTCAGAGATGAAAGAAAATTAGTAAAATATATATGAAAATCTTCCTCCTATCAGAGTCTGGGGACCCAGAGTCAAGTCCCTGCCCACCTGCAGCCCCTCAAAATTGCATGAGACCCAGACCCAGCTGGCCCAACCCCCATTGAGCGAGATCCAGACCCGGCCGGCCCCACCCTTGTCAAGTCCCGCCGGGCGGGGGGCGCAGCCTAAGGTCCCTCGGCCCGGTGCCAGGGCAGGTGGCGTGGCCTGATGTCCCCCATCAAGCCCTGCTGGGCAGGGAGCGTGGCCTGAGGTCCCCTAGCCCAGCGCCAGGGCAGGGGTCACAGACTGAGGTCCTGCATCAAGCCCTGCCCGGTAGGAGACACAGCCTGAGATCCGCTATCAAGCCCTGCCGAGCTGGGGTAGCAGTCTGAAATCCCGTCAAGCCCCACCGGGTGGGGGGTGGTGGGGGACACAGCCTCAGTTACCCTGTCAAGATCCGCTGGGTGGAGAGCGCAGCTTCAGGTCCCCTGGCCTGGGGAGAACAACATGAGGTCCCTCGGCCTGGCGCTGGGCACAGCCTGGGGTTCCCCGGCCCAGCACCTGGGCGGGGGGCGTACCTTGAGGTTCCATGTCAAGCCCCACCAGGCAGGGGGCACAGACTCAGGTCCCCTGCCCTGGCTCAGCACCACGCAGCCTCAGGTGCCTGCTGATTGCTCGTTAAGGCTCGTTACAGGAACTCGGCCTCTGCTGTGGGTGCAGCCATCTTGTGTTATGGAATCCCTGCCTCTGCTGTGGGGCGCAGCCATCTTGTGTTATGGAAACACTGCCTCTGCCATCTTTGTGATGGCGTGATGGTCAATTTGCACATCCCCTCTTTATTAGATAGGATAGTATTATAAAATCAAAATACAAAATATTTTAATATTGCTATTCGCTCTTTAAATAACAAAAACATTGATTAAAAACAATGATTGATAAATTGATTAATAAATAACAACATGATATAACAACAACAAAGACATGATATAAAAACAACAAAAATATGATATAAAAACAACATTGATAAAAACAATGACTGGCCCTAACCGGTTTGGCTCAGTGGATAGAGTGTCAGCCTGTGGATTGAAGGGTCTCAGGTTCGATTCTGGTTAAGGGCATGTACCTCAGTTGTGGGCACATCCCCAGTAGAGGGTGTGCAGGAGGCAGCTGATCGATGTTTCTCTCTCATTGATGTTTCTAACTCTCTATCCCTCTCCCTTCCTCTCTGTACAAAATCAATAAAATATATTGAAAATCAAAACAAAACAATGACT